CTACTGTAAAACATGGTGACTACAGTTGACAACACCATATTGTATAACTGAAATTTGCTAAGACAGTAGAACTTAAATGTTCTTACCAAAAAATAAACAAATGAATAAGCGAGGTGATGGATGTGTTAATTAACGCAATGAGAGGGGAATCCTTTCACAATGCATACATATATCAAATCACTACAATGTATACTTTGAATATCTTACAAGTTTATATGTCAATTATACTTCAATAAAGCTGAATTAATGAATTAATTTTTAAAAAGAGAAATATCTTTGGGCATTTGGTCACTCTAATAGTTCTTAAGATAGAGAAAGGATTTACTGTTAAATGAAAGACAAAGTAGCAAAACAGCGGGCATTTCTGTCCCACCTTGTGAAAAGTATTAATAAAGTATTAGTATCTGTATCGACAAAATATCAGGGCTGGTTGGGGGGCTATGTTATATGTTTCTGAACATACGGTCTGAATTTTCTGTAACAAAATTCTATAATAAATCTACATGGTATTAATTTGCTACAATTAACATGCGTTCGTTCTATAAATCCCAAAATAAAGAAGTTTTTCGTTTTTTGTTTTGTTTTGATTTTTGAGGAAGATTAGCCCTGAGCTAACATCTGCTGCCAATCCTCCTCTTTTCGCTGAGGAAGACTGGTCCTGAGCTAACATCTGTGCCCATCTTCCTCTACTTGATATGTGGGACGCCTACCACAGCATGGCTTGACAGGCGGTGCCATGTCTGCACCTGGGATCCGAACCGGTGAACCCCAGGCTGCTGAAACGGAACGTGCACACTTAACTGCTGCGCCACCAGGCCGGCCCCTAGAAACACAGATATTGTGTAAGTGAGATTCTCAGTTTACAACATACATTCAACACAGTCCAATTCAGCAGCACTTACTGCACCTAATGATGGGCCAGGCCCCAGGCTGGGTGGAGAAACAGCTTCTGTATAGCAGAAGAGCAGAAGATGTGCAGGCAGGGAGACGACCTGCTATGTGGCCTTGGGAAAATCACCTAACTTCTCTGAGCCTCACTCTCCTCTTTTTAAAACAAAGACGTGACAGTAACTGTGACATGCAAATGAAGGAACATGAAGGTTCTGGGCAGTGGTCGTCACTGGGTACCATCTCACACAATCCCTGAACAGCCCCATAGCGTGGGCGCCGTGAGCATCTCCATTTTACAGAGGAGGAAACTGAGGCTCCAAGATGGACTGGCAAGTCCAGGTCACACTGAGAGCACATGGTGGAGCAAAGATGTAAACCCTGCCGTCGGAGTCCAGGTCAGAAGTCCCCACCCCAGTCCTGCCTGCCCTCTGGTGTCCAGATGGGGGTGTCACTGTCCAGACCACCTGACACTCATCTTCGTGGCTTATGTATCTGTCACTTGTCTCTCCCACTAGAAGGTCAGCCCCATGCGGGCAGGGACTTTGTTTCACTCACTGTCATATCCCAGGAACGAGAACTATGCCCGGCACCGAGCAGGTACCTCATGATCCTTGAGTGACTCGGTGAAAAAAGGGAAGAATTCCCTAGTAAAGATCCAAAGAAAGTGGCCCGGGGCTCGTGGAGGTAAAGCATCACCCCTTCAAGGTCACAGAGTCGAGCAGGCCCCGGGCAAGTCCCTCGTTCCCACTCAGCCCTGCCTCTCCCAAACCCAACACCCCTGTCCCCGGCCGCCGGAGACCACGGGAATAGCTCAGTCTGGTGCAGGGAAGGGTCGGGACAAAAGTGAAGGTGGCTCCATCTGTTCCTGGCTAGCCTTCTGCCCACAGTGCTGCCTGTGCCTCAGTTTCTCAGTCTGGAACGTGGGCACCTGCCGCTGGGCTGACACGAGGTGACAGGATTCAGGAGGAACACGTGGAGCTGGTCCTTCATGTCCTCCTCCCTCAGGGGCCGGGGCCGGCCTGAGGCGCCCCAGGTGCACCAGTCACACGTACACTCGGGTCGAGGGGACCAGGCGGGGTTGTGAGGAAGTGCCTCCCACACAGAGCCACAGGGCCAGGGCTGGAGGCCGCTTGTCCTCTGACACCATCACCGTAGGCTGGACGAGAATCAGAGGCCCTGAGCAGGGAAGGGACACGACTTGGGACGTACAGGAATCAGTGGTGGGCCCAGGCGGTACAAGAACCTGCGTGTGGCCTCCCAGCTCAGGACTCTCCTCTCCCTGAGCACAGGCGACACCAGGAACAGGCTCCGTCTGCTACTCGTGGGTCTCGGCCCCCATTCCAGCGTCCTGGCCAAGGGGAACCAAGAGTCCACAAGGCTGAGATTGACAGACAGGCCAGGCAGGGCCACCGGCGGCCCTGGCCACAGCCGTGACCTCCCAGCACAGGCACTGCCAGTCAGGAGCCGGGCAACTAAAGCATCTGCTCGGACACAGATGTCTGACCACGGGCGGGAGGCCTGCGAGAGGCCCACGGCCTCTGGGTCCTACTGGCTGCCACTGACGGTCGGCAGCCCGGCAGGCACCAGCTCTGGCTTCCCAGGAGCCAGATGTGGCTGCCAGGAGAGCTGGAGCTGGAGGCAACGGGTGTGGGAGCCTGGGCGTGGGCGCTGGTGCCACAGCGACTCTGCTATTAGACTCCATGGAGGCTCAGGGGCCGCTGACCCACAGAGGCCTGGGGCCCGGGCCTCCAAACCAGGTCAGAATCCTGGCAGGTGTCTAACCCCCACATCAGCCCAGGTAATTACCAGTTAAAACCAGTGTAACCGACAGAGCTCTGCGAGGGCAATGAGGCCATCAGAATGAAGCAGGCCCTCTGACAGCCGGCTGGGCCGCCCGCAGCCCGGGCTTCCACGAACAGAGATCTGCTCGTGACTCTCACAGCGTCACAGGCCTCAGCTCTTAATGAAACGCGCAGAGATGGCGCGGGAAGAAGCTGGGGTTTGGCATCCACAGCCTGGATGATGCCAGGGAGGTGCTCTGTGGCCCTGGGGTGAACATTTAACCTCTCTGAGCCCATGAAATGAGCCTGGTGAAACTGCTTCACCCGTCGTTGCATGGATGAAATGGGGAATTATAAAGCTATGGACCTTCAAATGCTAACGTTTAGTCTAAAATAGGTAGACACACCTTTGGTTGACTTTTAAAATTTCTTCCTGGGTTTCTCGTATGTATGAGATACATGGGGACATTCCTGTCACATCCACACCTAGGCTGGGCGGCAGCTGGGAGGGACGGGGTCAGCAGTGACCAGGGCCCAGTTCACCCTACGAGAGGGGTTGATTTCTGCTCCTCCCCCTCTATCAACCAAACGCACAACAACCCCGAGGATGCATCGATCACTAGGATCCCCATTTTACAAGGAGGGACCTGAGGCTCAGAGAGGGGGAGGGACTTGCCTAAGATCACACAGCAGAGGCAGGAAAGGGACCAGGTCCACCTGAGCAAAGGGCACTGCTTGATTCCAGCAGCAGCTCCCACCGAGGCTGTGCACGCCCTGACCCAGGAGACGCTGAGGGAAGCAGGACACGGGCTGGGCGGTGACTCACTCTAATGGATGGCTCCCCTGGGGACATTCCCGGGGTGACTGCATCTACAGCTCTTCTTGGTCCTGAGCCCAGGTCAGCTTGTCCCGAGGACAGAGCTCCAGCCTCAGGTCCACATATGGTCTTCTCTGTCCCGAGTCCCCACCCTGCCTCTAGCCAGGAAGGTGGCATCCAGAACCCACCGGCCCAATTGCTGTGCCGGGCACTGGGCTCTCAGCAGAGGTTGACAGTGGCCTCCTGCTGCTCATTCCCCCAGCTCAGCCCACCACCAGCTCTGGAGTGGGGGACAGAGGCCTCCATGGCTGTCCCCTCTTCCCGCAATAGTGTACGAAGCAAAAGGCTGAGATCCCACAGAACCCGGTGCTGCTTGGTCCCTAGGTTCCTCCACCCGAACCCCTCTGAAATCTCTCTCTGCTCCGAGAGCCACCCACTGACAGCAGAAACGTCGCCACCTTGAGCACTGGATGGCGGGCCAAACAGTCTGAGCCTGTTCTGGCCACAGAAAGGCTATGCTATCCTGGGCATGTCACTGCCTCTCTGAGCCTCACTGTCCTCATCTGAGAGAGGGGCAAATATCATGGCTGGTAACAGGGTTCTTGGGAGGATTAAGGGCGATGCTGTAGGTGAAGGGGGCTGGTGGCCTTGCAAGGGTCCTCTCCCTCCTCTCGGGCCCACAGCTCTTCCCACCGCAGGCTGAGCTGTAGTCCTTGGGTCCCCAGGTCCAGGCTGGTGTCTGCCCCAGCCCAGCCCCTGCCCCTCCCTAGCCACAGGGAGCAGGCAAAGCAGATAGGAGACAAACATTCATGACAGTAGATTAAAGAGAGTTTGGTGATAGAAAAGGTTTCTTTGAGAACTTTAAGGGCAAATGGCTCCTTAATTTGGCGTAAAATTTCTGCAGAGGAAAAGCTGGGCTTTGCCTGGGAGAATGAAGAGGGTCCAGGCTGCCCAGTGGGTCATTCCACAGGCCAAGCCATGTCCCAAGCACGGGCCCAGGGTGACAGATCACAGAGCCTGCCCCACTGAGCTCAGAGTCACCTCCTTGCCCACTGGCTCCCTGACAGCCACACCCCCACCCACGGCTCTGGGGCCCTGGCCCGGGGAGGAGGCTGCTGTGGACCCAGGACACCGGTTCTCATCTCAGCTCTGGTCACTCTGATGATGTGACCAGGCTCTTCCACACTGAACTTTGCCCCTGTCTTCAGCGCTGCCCTTATCACAGGGGCAGCATCACAGCCTCTGTTTACTCATCTGTCTGCCCAGCACCAGCCCGTCCTCCTGGACTGCCCAGGGCCACCCGACACGACATGGTTCCTACGCTTGGGTGTGTTGGGAGGCGGGTGGAGGTTCACGGCCCTGACTCACATTCCCGCGTCTGCCCCTGCCCTTCCCGCAGCGCCCCAACCTCCACACCCCTTAGCCTGCCCCGCCCTGACCCTGCGGGGCCCTGTCCACGACACGGTCACGCCCGGCTCACGGCCCGGGCGCGCCCTGCCCAGGTCATCCACACTCCCCTGCAGCCCGCGTCCCTCCCCCGGGGCCCGATGGGCGCAGACACAGCCCGCCGTCCCGCACGCGCGCTAGGCGGAGGTCGGGCGTCACCGCCGGGCCCCGCCGCCCCCCGGGCCCGCGCTCACCCATGTTCACGAAGCTCATGACCAGGTCGGCGTGGCCCAGGCGCCGCTCGGGGGGCCCGCCGTCCTCGGCGTCGTCGCCGGCCATGGCGTGGTAGAGGTCCAGCATGAAGAGCGGCGCGGACGCGGGCGGCCGGGCGGCGGCGGGCGGCGTGCGGGGCCGGGGCCGCCCGGGCAGCCCGAGCACCTCCAGGATCTCGCGCTGCAGGTCGCGGCGCTCGCGCGGGCCCAGGCGGCGCGGCGGGCAGCCGGGCGGGGGGCGCGGGCCGGGGCCGCCGCCGCCCAGCGCGCACAGCGCCAGGCCCAGGAGCCAGAGCGGGCTGGGGCGCGCGGCCATGGCGGGCCGGACGGCGGCAATCACCGGGCGCGCATCCGCCCCGCGGCCGCCCGGCCGGGCCCCGACGGCGAGCGCCGCCCTAGAGCGCCCCCCGCGCCGCACCTGGCGCGCTCCAGCCGAGGGGACCCGGGACTGTCGGCGAGTCCGGCGTCGCCGAGGCCGGCTCAGCGCAGGGGCGGCGGGCGAGCTGCCGTCGGGCTCGCGGAGCGCGGACGCCCCAGCACCTCCCGGGCGGCCCCGCCGTCTGGGCCGCCGCCCCTGTGCTCCAGCGCGGCCGCCGGGTGCCGCCCCCTCCGGGCCGACCAATGGGGCGCAGGGGCGGGGCCAAGGCCGCGGAACCCACGCCCCGGGAAGGGGCTCTGGGGTGCGGTTGGTGTGGCAGGAGGTGGCTACCTCGAGATGCGACCCGCTAGTGGGCGATGCGCCCGTCGGGCGAGGGGTCCGCAGCCCGGCCGTCAGGGGCCTCAGGGTCGTCCTGGGCTCCGCTCCCTGCCGCTGGCCGCGACGTCCTGCAGGCTGGGGGCCTCGGCCTAGGGACCCCAGGGCAGCAGCGCTGTCCGGGGAAATCAGGAACCTGGCTCCCGCGGGGCGGGTCCGGGCGCCCTCGCCTGGGCGGGGATCCCGAGTTTCGGCCCGGCCAGCGGAGGGACCCGACAGCCCAGCCTTGGTGCGCAGACTGTCGCCCCAGAACCCGAAACGCCTCAGCCGGGTCTATAGGTAGAGGGGCCCCGCGGGTGCTGGCCATGTCCCGAGAGTGGGGCGCGTTCCTCTGCCAGCAGCAGCCGGGCCCGCGTTCCCCGCCACCGCAGCTCCTCGCGGCCTCTCGGCGCCTTCCCCGCTGTCCCCTTGAGCCGTTGTTGGGGGCTTCTCCTTTCCGGACACCTGCTCGGTCGCTGCTCCTGGCGCGCCCACCCACCTGGCTCCCGCGTGCTCCCGGGCTGCGCCCACGCGGGCCGCCCCAGCTGTTCCTGCGGCTGCGCGGTCCCCGCCAGCTCTCGCTGTGCGCCCCGGGGAACCCGGTGCCGATTCAGCCCGGCGCGGAAGACGCGCACCCGCCTCCGGCCGTCCCAGGAGCTCTGGGGCCCTCGCCAGCGTCCAGGAAGCGCCTTTGAGCGTCTAAGTTGTCACAGCCCTCAGCGGCCTACAGAGAGACGGCTCCTCAGGGAAACTCCTCGGTGGACCAGCCCTTCCGCACAGCCTGCACTTCCCGAGGCGCGCTCTCACTGCGTCTATTCGCTTACGGTTAAGGCGCTGCGCTGGGAGGCGGTGACACCTAGACCGAGCTGGGAAGACTAGAAGGAATTGGCCTGGGAGGACAGGGAAGGTCAGTGGGAGGAAAGTGTTCCAGGTAGAGGAAACAGCTTGTGTCAAGGCCCTGAGATTCGAGGGAGCATAACAACGGCAGGTAACAAATAACGCTTACGGTGTGCCAGGCACGTTCTGCATCAAAACCCATTTAGAGTGCTTAGAATTGTGCTTGCCACATAGTGGCAAGGCTTTCATGCACATACATTGTATAGAGTGGATGCCATTTAAATCCCCTCTGTTAACAGATGAGGAGACTGAGGCACACAGAGGCTTACCGGAGGTCACACAACAGTGGAGCTGGGGTGGGGCAGGTGGCCACGTGCAGGTGAGCTGTTCAGTGGAACCTGGAGAGCCTGGAGTGGGGAGAAGGGCAGGACAAAAGGGGAGGGTGAGGCTGAGGCTGGAGGGGCTGGCAAGGGACAGACCACAAGGGGCCTTGCAGGGAGGCTGGATGAGGGCTCTGGACTCCAGGCAGTTATGGGCCCCTAGGTAGATTCAAGGCTAAACTTCAAAATGAATGTATGATGTCCAATAAAATTCGCACTTTTCCTTGATGACTTCAATTCTAAAAAATACCAAAATTCAAATCTAAACAATCATTTGCTGCTGCCTTAAGCCCATGCCTAGTCTGTCTTACCCAAAAGGTTAATTTCCACACCGCTGGTAAGGCCCAATAAGGATGCTGAACTTTATCATAAGGATAATGCAGCTTAGCCTTGAATGTGCCCAGGGCGAGACCAGAGCCTGGATGCAGAGGGGACCATGGACTGGAGAGAGACTCGACTCAGGGCCACAGTTGGACACAGTCGCAGTAACGAGAGGGCAGAGAGGGAGACAGTGGCCATGGGTGGAGGGCAGAGGAGAAGGCTGTTATGAGGCTGAATCCACAGGGCTTGGTGACTGCATGTGGAGGCAGGGAGCAGAGTCAAGGGGGTGTCCTTGACTGTTAGGCTTGGTCTGGGTCTCTGAATCTCCTGCGCCCTTCACTGTCCTTCTCTGTGCCGCTGGGCATTCCTCTGCACTCCCCTTTGAGTCCACACTATCATTTGGGGCCTCAGATCTAGCCTGTAATTCTCAGGGTGTGCGTCGTGCAACACCGGGCTCCCAGCTAGACTGCAAGCAGCCCAGTGCTGGGCTGATTCTTGTAACAGCAGAAATCATTTCACTCAGTTTAGGGCAAGTGGAGATAGCTGTGTTCTTTAAACAATGGGCCTCACATTCCCATAAACCTAAACATTGGGTTTTAGCCATTCCAAAGGGCGTCACCCCACGATTCGATTCAGCAACAACCCCTGGGCTGCTCTGTGCTGTGGCCTGAGTCAGAGATGAAGCCAGCCAGCTCCCTGCCCCGAGCGGCCCCCACTCTAACAGGGGTGACAGTCAGGTGAACCTGAGTCATTCCCGAAGGCAGAGTGAAGGCTGTTCTTTGACAGAGGGGCGGGCAAAGTGCCTGGAAGGGAAGAGGGAGCAGAGGCGGCGATGTGTGCGTAGAATCCTAGAACTCCACAGCTGCAAGGGAACTGAGGTGGGGAAGCTTTCTTGCAGAAAGTGGTGTCAAACAAGGGCTTTCCCCAGCCACCTGGCAACACTGTGACCTTGGGCAAGTCACTTAACCTCTCTCAGGCGCGGTTTCTCATCTGTAAATGGGGCTCACAATTGTAGGACAGTGATGGGGATTAAAGGAGCAAGCATCTAGAGCACTTAGCATGGTGACTGGCATACACTAAGCTCTCATTAATGCTAGCGATTGTTTATTGTTATTACTATCAAAATAATATTATTATACTATTCAAAGCTCTACACTTGATCTCAGCCAAAAGGCCGAGAAGCGATTATTCAAAGCTCTAAAAAATACTTTTTCCTAATTACAAAAGTAACTTGCATATTGTAGAAAGTTTGAAAATATATAAAAGTAAAAAAAGAACATAAACCACCCAAACTCATGTTCCAGAGACAACCACTGGTAATATTTGGTGTATCTTTTTATTAATACATGTGTATATTTTTAATACAAAAAACAGAATCACGCTTGCTTTCCTGACATCATAATATATTGCAATATTTCACCATGCCATTTATTATTTCCAAAAAGGTATTTATTTTTTTTACTGGCTTCATGGTATTTTTTCATCATATGGCTATCATAACTTATTTAAGCAACCCTGTGTTATTGAAAAACATGTTTATTTTATTTTATTATTTTTTTTAATTTTATTTTTTCCTTTTTCTCCCCAAAGCCCCCCGGTACATAGTTGTATATTCTTTGTTGTGGGTCCTTCTAGTTGTGGCACGTGGGATGCTGCCTCAGCGTGGTTTGATGAGCGGTGCCATGTCCGCGCCCAGGATTCGAACCAACGAAACACTGGGCCGCCTGCAGCGGAGCGCGCGAACTTAACCACTTGGCCACGGGGCCAGCCCCAGTTTATTTTTTAATATTATGAAAAGAAGTTTGGTAAACACTGTATGCTACATTCCTCCCCCCCGCCACTCCGCCCCAGGAGAGTCCTAATGCAATTGGCATTAAGCTCTGGGAAGTCCTGCAGTAAAGAAACCTGCTTAGCTTTAACTCAATGTCTTCCAAATGCATTTGACCATGATTTTTGGGGGGGGGAGGGTTTGAAGACCACATCTCGGGGACCAGGATGTGATGGAGTCCCCAGAACTCAGTGGTCTGACATTCATCACCTGGTCTCTGGTGCTGACCCCTCCTCACAGTCTTATCTAGCCACTAACAGTGTACACATTGCTCTAGTCACATGGGACTACCTGTGCTCCCCTCACTTGTTCTGCTGTTGACATTTCTGTTCATCTACAAGTGGATTCCTTTACCAAGAAGGTCCAAATCCCCTTGGCCTGTCTGGTCAAGTATTACCTCTCTTTAAGACGCAGTTGAAGCAACCCCCTGCCCCCATTCCTGAGACCCTCTCCACCCTCACGGGTAGATGGATCTCTCCTTCCCAACTCACTCACATCCTCAAACTGAAGGGCATTTGCTTGCTCACACGTTCACTCCTTCTACTCCCTCTCTCCACTGGGGACTTCTCAAGGCAGAGACTGTCATGCCAATTTACCTTCGGATCCCAGTGTCAGGCTCATGTTTAGGGTTTCAATAAATATTTGCTGAATTTACTAGTCTCTGAGAAAGGAGTAGCTTCTGACCTTCGTGAATCCTTCCATTGAGAAGTGTTCATCATTGCATGGGAGCAAAGAACAGAAGATGAAGCTGTGTTGGAGTGTGGGGGTCCGTGGCCAGCAGACTCACTCTTTGGTTATGTAACTGGTTCTCTTGCACACCGGCCGCAAATGCAAATCCACGAATTTTCATTCCTGAAACCACAAGGTTAAATTCACCATCACCAAGACCTACTCCCGTATAGAATATGAAAGAGAAATAGCAATTTAAAAGAGCAGAGACAACAGTTTTCCATAAGAAAGACACTGCAGGAATGGATATCATCCAGTGTTATCACCAACACATTTAACCTTTGCATTTTGCGATCTGAGGACCTGTTTAATCCTATCATAGAATCCTGTCCAGAGCTCCTATGTCATGACCATGTCAGTCCCAGAGGACGCCATGGGGTGGGTACACTATCATGACTCATTAAATGACTGCTGAGGGGCCTCAAGGCTGTCTGCATCAAGGATGCTGGGAAAATCCAGCTCATCCTGTTCCCAAGGTGTGCTTACAA